TAACATTTAATGTAATTACATGTAAATACTATAGCAATGTATACTGTAGACTTCTATTAAAGGAATTCATCATTCATAACATTGCTGTTCTCTACTGAATGGCGGTCATGTGACGAGTCACAAATCAGTAGTAGGGTCTTCGCTATGTTGTGGTTTGAATGCCATAAAAAGAAAAGCTATTTCCAAGCCAGCCAAACTGCCCTGGAGTCCTAGCCACTCACCACTGCTTATCCGCTCATTCGTTTTTATGATCTTGCATTAAATCTTAATGGGGATTGCTTCTTATCGATCCTGTCAGAGACATCAGCTGTCTTGCGTAACCGGCGGTGTACAACAGTGGCAGGGCAGTTCCATCAACAAATGAGGAACGACAAGAAGCTAATCGAGGTTCAACGTGTGTTGTTTTCACTAGAATCTGCAAGTTCTAGGCACATTTGTTGTGTGCGCTGCTGTTAGGCAGCAAATGTCAGCGGATTGGTGTAATTCCGATGAAATGTTTGCCGGGCGTGAGCGCATGTCGGCACAGTTTAGCTTGGAGAAGACAAGCCTGAATCAAATTTGTGACGACAGCGCTCTCACCCAGACTGTGTTCCGCTGAGTTAATGTTTAATGTTTTTGACAGAGCTGGTGTTAGCTTCTTTTTTGCAATAATAAGGCCTCTTCTTCCTCTTCTCCAGTGCTTATTTCTCATGTCAGCAGCTCTGTATTGCTCTCTAACTCAGGAACACACGTCCGTTTGGCCTTGTTCAGTGAAGCTTGTGAATCTATAAGGGCTGTTAGATATGCTGCTGGTTGAAAGATGGTCTGGTTCTTCAGAGAGATCAAGCGGTACTTGATGCAATTGCTTTTTTAAAGGCTTTGATGTCATGTAATTGTGTTATCTGCCTTGGTAGGCACTTTCATGTAAGAATGGCTTCAAAATAAAACCATAAACTACAAATCACGTTGTACCTCTGGCAAAGATCAGAAAGGATACCTTGATGTGTGAACATGGGTTGGTTTTAGTATATTTTCAGGACAGAAATGGCCCATAACCTACAATGCCAGGACCTACCAAACTGTTCTGACATTGGAAAGTGTTTTTACAAAAGATAAATTATTCTTTTTTTTTTTTTTAACCCTTGTGTGGTGTTCATGTTTTTGTTACTCAGTGGTTTGGTGAACTTATTGCATTATTGTTTTTTTTAATCAATACAGCCATAACAATTTATGTACAACCCCATTTCCAAAAAAGTTGGGATGCTGTGCAAAATGTAAATAAAAACAAAATGCAATGAAGTGCAAATAATTTAAACCCTATATTTAATTGAAAATAGTACAAATACAACATATCAAATGTTGAAACTGAGAAATTTTATTGGTTTTTGAAAAATATTCGCCCATTTTGAATTTGATGCCAACAACAAAATTTGGGACAGGGGCAACAAAAGGCTGGTAAAGTTGTCCAATGCTAAGAAAAAACACCTGGTGGTTGATTGGCAAAAGGTCAGTAACATGATTGGGTATAAAAAAGCATCTCAGAGAGGCTGAGTCTTTCAGAAGTAAAGATGGGGGGGGGTTCACCACTCTGTAAAAGACTGCACGATCAATTAGTACAACAATTCAAGAATAACATTTCTCAACATAAAATAGCAAAGAACTTTTACTTTTCATCATCTACAGTAAATAATAACATTAAAAGATTCAGATAATCTGGAGAAATCTCTGTATGCAAGGCACAAGGCCAAAAACCAGTATTTCCTAGCTGTGATCTTTGGGCCCTCAGGCAGCACTGCTTTAAAAACAGACATGATTCTATAGTGGAAATCACTGCATGGGCACAGGAACACTTCTGAAAACCACTGTCTGTGAAAACAGTTCATCACTGCATCCACAAATGCAAGTTAAAACTCTAAAATGCAAAGAAGAAACTGTGTAGAAACAGGATCCAGGAATGCTGCCGTCTTCTCTGGGCCTGAGTTCATTTAAAAGGCGCCATTGACACTCAATGATATATACATGTTTTGGCAGCATATGCTGCCATCCAGATGATGTCTTTTTCAGTGAAGGCCTTGTTTATTTCAGCAAGACAATACCAAACCACATTCTGCATGTATTACACAGCACAGCGATGTCTGATCCAGTCGTACCAGCACAACACACACTAACACACCACCACATCAGTATTACTGCAGTGCTGAGAATGATACACCACCCAAATAGTGCCTGCTCTGTGAGGGTCCATGGGGGTCCTGACCACTGAAGAACAGGGTAAAAGGGGGCTAACAAAGTATGCAGAGAAACAGATGGACTACAGTCTGTAATTGTAGAACTACAAAGTGCACCTATATAGTAAGTGGAGCTGATAAAATGGACAATGAGCGTAGAAACAAGGAGGTGGTCATAATGTTATGCCTGACTGCTGTATATATGTGATGCACATAATACATATTCTTATTACATACAGAAAAACATACATATACATACATGTAGATATCACCGCTGTCGCAACAAAACCTTGTATTTCCAAAATCGTTAAAGGAGAAGGTAAAACACTCTTAAATTTTAATGGGAGATAATGGAACTAGATATGTTTTTTTTTCATTTCCATTTCCATGTAATTTTGGACCATTCCGCTGGTCTGTTCATCATTAATTTTTAGCACAATGTAAAAATGTTTTTCAAATTATGTCAAAAACAGTACAAGCAGTACAAACAGTTTTTCTGACAGCGACAATATACAACCCCATTTCCAAAAATGTTGGGATGCTGTGCAAAATGTAAATAAAAACAAAATGCAATGATGTGCAAATCATTTAACCCCTATATTTTATTGAAAATAGTACAAAGACAACATATTAAATGTAGAAACTGAGAAATTTATTGTTTTTTGAAAAATATATGCCCATTTTGAATTTGATACCAACAACAGAAGAAGAACAAAAGTTGGGACGGCGACAACAAAAGGCTGGTAAAGTTGTGTAATGCTAAAAAAAACACCTGATTTGTTGTATTTGTACTATTTTCAATGAAATATAGGGGTTTAAATGATTTGCACATCATTGCATTTTGTTTTTAGTTTACATTTTGCACAGCATCCCAACATTTTTGGAAATGGGGTTGTATACTATACAAATGGGACATATACATATAGAAGACATTATTACATCAAAATACTTCATAGCATTTAATATGTATTATTTATTGCTGTTGTTGGACCCTTGCATCTCCTTTTTTGTTGGTTTTCAATTTTTTATATAATTTGAAAATGCCTGTTGCCCTTTACATTGTGTGTAAATTTCATGAAAGAAACAACACAGAATTACTTGGAAAAAAGTGTGGTTCCAATCACATACATTAAAAGTAAAGTATGTTTTTTCGCCACTTTGGAGATCTGAGATTTTGTTCCGACAGCAGCATATATATATATATATATATATATATATATGTGACTTCATGAGAAACCTGTGTGCGTTTGTCTGTGTGTGTGTGTGTGTGTGTGTGTGTGTACATCAGGCTGTGAGAGCTAATGCACACAGCGTAGGAGGCATTTCTCTCTGGCTTTCTGAATGCGAGGTCACTCAAAGTGCTCTGGCTTTGTGTGCCTCTAAATAACCTCGCCTGCCCTAGAAAAATAATTGACCGATGAACAGTCTGTCTAGTGCCTACACAAATCCCTGCACTACATCCTATCATTAGTGATGAGTGCCATACCAGGAATCTTCACTATCTGGTGTCATCATCTCAAAGAAATATGCACTAAACATATTGTGCATTCAAAACCATTTCTAGTAGTACTATCCAATTTGTCCAAGTATGGAATATTTCCAATAGTGTGATTGTCATGGAATCATTTGCTTTTCTTTCCCTTTAAAAACTGCTAAGCTGTAAAATAAGCTCTGTTTAATTAAAGCATTTCTTAAAAGATAGCCATTCAAAAGTACCAAATACTCCACCGCCCTACGGCAAGATAGAAAGTTGTCATCTTCTATGTCTTTCTCCTTAGTGGAAAGAATGTGCCTAAATGTTATTTGGTCAGCGAAATAAATTTTCATGCTTTTTTGACCAGCTTACAACTTTCTAGAGTAGTTAGCCTAGTTAGTGATTAAGCCATGTTAACTCTTTTTAGCATGGGTATTTTCCCCACCTTCCCATAATGAAACATAGCAAACACCTGAATAGTGACTTTGGTATTTGAACACTGGCTCCTCCAGGGTTTCACCAAATGCTGTAGTACCCATGCATGTCTCACGTTCAGTGGCATCTCTATTTTCTTGTGTCTCAGTCTGTACTCATGCTAATGTACTGTAGCATCGATGTTTAGTAAAAAACAGGGAAGGCCACGATTTCCACCATGAGAAGTGTTCTTTATGAAACACCAGGGTAGAAAGACACATCAAACGGCTGGAAGGCGATCTTCGTCCAGCTCAGGTCAGGACTGTGCACGTGCCCAGGGACTGGGCTTGAGTTGGTAGCTCGAGCTGGTATGGTCGCCAGGGTCGCCAGGGTAGTAACCCAGTACTAACTAGCGCTAGCCTCTGGCCTCTGGTGAGGCGTAGCCATGCTGATGGCCACGCTAGGAGGATCATGGGCAGCGCACCCTCTGGAAAAAAGACTATTATGTTGTTTACATTGTTGTTCGTCAGTTATAGGTATGCATCATGTGTTTATTGTGTTTTTCTGTGTTGGGGTTGTGAGTTGTATCATTTTGTGTTGGGTCTACTGTCAAGGTGAAGCCTGTGGCTGGTGGTGATCTCAACTTTTGCAGTGCTGTGGAAAGATTTAGTTCACAGATATAGTAGTACTATCTCTCATACTTTAGTTCTGCTCTTGAACTTGAACCATTGCCAGTCGTCTTCTACCTCATAGCAGGAAACAGAAGCATAAAATACAGTGTGTAAATATTGCCTCTTGTGCTTTTATTGCAGCTTTGTCATTAGTTAGCAGCGTAAAGTTGGCTATCGTGTTTATGTGCACCGTAGCTGAACATTGAGTATGTGTGCGTTTGCGTGTGTTTGCAGGTACATGGCCATAATTCATCCGCTGAAGCCTCATCTGTCGGCCACTGCTACTAAAGTGGTGATCGTATGTATCTGGGTGCTGGCTGTGGTGCTGGCCTTTCCCCTCTGCTTCTTCTCCACCATTAGAAAATTACCCAAGAGGACTCTTTGCTACGTGGCCTGGCCTAGACCCGGGGAGGACCCCTTCATGTGAGAATATTTTAAATGCTATAATGTATGCTGAGTCACTTATATTTACTTTGCAGAATGTGCAGGGAGATCTCTATAGTTTGACCTGATTAGAAGGATATTTAAAGAGGGAAATGTTTCATAATTTCTGCATAACTCAGTCACTGAGATGCAAAGTCATTCAGAGTGGTTTGACATGAAAAGGTTCATTGTAGAGAAACCTATCCACATGTCGATTTACAAGCAAGTTCTTTACAGTGTTGGTGATAGAAACCAGGGGTCGCCATGTCTACAACATAAACAGAACCATTTTATTTGCTGTCCAGAATGACCTATGAACCTACATGTATCTCATGAGTGTTTATATGTAATGATGACAGTGCAAAATAGTGGTAAATGTTTTGCCTTACAATGATCTTATGTATGTAACAATAATGAAGTCAAAATCTGCTATTAAAACTATCATAAAACAATGTTTTAGACCTCAGCAACATATTCATAGACATTTCATGCAATAACCTTTTGTCGTGTAACTTTTGGAGGCATTAATTGCTTCAGAGGTCTGGTTTTCTACTCTGAATGACTTTGTTTACATCTTCACCATTTAATTATGCAGAAAGTTTGGAAGTAAATGTGGAGTACCTCTTGAACAGAACTTTCTCAGCTTCCTCTCAAACATTAATTAAAGTGGTGGCTTGGCCATAAATCTAATTTCCTCATTATTCCATGTAGTCAACAAGCCAAGTTGGGTGCCTGACATTTGGATTATTTAGCTGTTCAAGGCTAATATGGCTACCGAGTAATTGAAGATCTTCCTGAAAACAACTCTCACACTTGCCTCAAACGGGTTGAGTTGTTAGTTAATCTCAGACTTGCTAATGTGGTTTCTGACACTGTTGGACATACTGTTGTCTATAAACATGGACAAAGTACAGGAAAAAATATAATATAGCAGCATATCCAGCAGCATATCCAGCACAAACTAGCATGCGTTCTATATGCTAGTCTAATGCTGGTCTGGTGCTGATTTAACTGGTCAGCCAGCACGGTCATGCTGGTTGACCAGCATACGAGCATCAAAACACAACATATGCTGCCACATATGCAGCTAGCTGAGCTGGTCTATGCTAGTTTTTCTAGCCGGCATAGCAACGTAGCAACATACTTTTGTGCATTTTTATACACAACAGTATGTTTTACAGTGTCAGAAACCACACAAGCAAGTCTATTTGAGATTATTTAGTAGCTCAACACAGTTTGAGGTGGAATGATTTAAGCATAGTGCTGTTTGATGCAGTATAAGCAGTTACCACAGTGCTAATTGGTGCAATATAGGCTTTCTTCACTTGTTAGCAACATGAGCCTTGTAGCTCCACTACAAAACTAAAGAAAACGTGGGACAGTATACATATCTTGGATAATCAGCTACAAGTAAATTAGATTTTTGGCCTTACGGCAATTTGAAACTGTATTTTAAACTGCTATGCTCACTGTGTCAATTAGTTATTCATGAGGCAGTAATAATCATTCCCATTTGCACCAAAACCCACAACTGGTCTACTATAAGAGTGCCAATTTCTATATTTCAGTATGTGCATTGTTATTTTGTGTTATTTGAAAGCCTTTATTGCCCTAATACTAAAATGGCCCTGACAGTTGCAGATATTGCCAGTTGTAACCTTAAGTAACCACATTATACACCCTTTGCTAAGTGCCTGAACACTGAAAAGTGTTACTTGTTGTACATATACACCACCAGTCACATGTATTCTTGTCTTCTCTAATCGTAAATTGTCTTCAATACGTTTCTATTTTGCAGGTACCATATCATAGTGACTGCATTGGTGTACATGCTGCCCCTAGTGGTGATGGGCATTACCTACACTATAGTAGGGGTGACGCTGTGGGGAGGGGAGATCCCTGGAGACTCGTCAGACAACTACCACGGCCAGTTACGTGCCAAGAGGAAGGTAAGCCGTCTGGTTTTGATTTCCTATTCAAATCCATAATGACTGTAATAGTTGCTAGCCATACTGTTTGCTTAAAGCTACATAAACAGGTATTTTCAAATGAATATGGAAATACACTCACTTATCTCAATTTATAATTTTAAGAATTGTATAAAAGCCATTTTATTGATATTAGTACCAGTCTTAATGACCATTAATATAATTAGACGTTTAACTTTAAATAATGTTTACTCTATTTGGCTATTTCTTTCCAAATAAAGTACAACAAAAATACAGAGCATTCCACTAGTGTTTAAACACTAAAAGTGTTTAAAGTGTTATTTCTCATGTTATGCAGTACTCTGTAGTGCAGAATTATATTCCTCTGTCTCATCAGTTTGAAAGAACTCACAATTCTTTGTCATTCATCATGTTTTCATTCATCAGTGGTCCACTACTGTAGAATGTAATATGCAAATACATTTCATAACCACTGGGAATCGCTGATGTGTGTGGTTTTACCTTTATTAAGTACAAAATAGATGCCTGAGAAAGTTTTTACCCTTTCAGCCGGAGAAAAGAAGCCAAACTGAGGGAAAGTATCTAGATAGCCATCTACCTTGCTACCTTGTCCTTCTCATCTGACGAGCCATTTCTGTCATTTGAGTTATCCATTCTCTCCATTGTAATTGTGAAGAAAAGTTCCTCCCACCTTCAAGATACATTAACAAAAGAAAGTTTTCCTAGTCTTTAAACTGAATCTTACTATAGAGACTACTGCAGTAGCATTGTAAGATGTGAGAAGGCATGTTTACAACAGACATAATGATAGTTCAATATTACACTCTGGCTGGAATGTCTAAGAGTGTAGGTTCTAACAACCAGGCATGTGCACAGATAGACCCCAGGTGGGCTTGAGCTCCTGCTCTTTGTCATTAAATGGTACAAATGCACTCTTGGTTGGTGTCTATAATAACTGTATGTTATATTGCCTCTGCCATTCCTAAATATCCATTTCAGCAATGCAAGGCTCAGCTTCAGGGTATAGAGCTTGTTGGTCAGTTTGGGTTCCTTGAGATCACTCTTGGGCACCCCCTCCAGTGCAGTATTTCTTCAACCTGTCACACATCACTACAGCGCTGGAAAACCCACCAATAAAACACAGATAGTCTCGTTAGGATAGCGTCACATTCTATAATGTTGTTATTTTAAACAATATATAATATTAGCAATAATTGGCAATAAATGGTGTTAATAATCTGGTACATCATTACTGTAAATGAACAGGGATTTAAAAGAGACTCTGTGGACATATATCACAATACTGCATGGTGATCAAACATTGTAGTGAATAGTGCTATGGATTTGTACACTGGAGACTGGGGTTCAAACTCCAGCATGCGTTACTGCTTTTGGCTGCTTTTGGTAAAACTCTTAACACCACATTTGGTTTTATCTGAATCCGTGCACAGGCCTGCTAACAACATGCCCTTGCATGTAAAGCCAAGTGTGAAAAAGCCACTGATAGAACATAGTGAATGGGATTTCAAACTACCCACGCTGCACAACTTGGCGACAAAGATTTAAGATGTCCCTCTCAATTTCACACCAAAGCTTGCCTCCCTTCTGTCTGCGTTTCAAGGTCATCCACAGACTATCACTTCCTCTGCTGTGAACACTTTTGACACGTCTTTCCTCTCCGAACGTGAGACCCCCTGAGGCTGCAGTGGGTACGGCAGCCTGGGAGGGTGTGCTTGACCCTCATTCTGAGAAACCTCACCTGCACTCCTTAAGTGCTGTCCTGCTGGGGAAGCATGGACACACATACGCACCTACAGAGAGGAGCACTATATGAAGATCAATAAAATATGAGAGGAACTGCTCAGCTGAGCCACGCCGAGACTTTTTGGAGAACCGTATGAGAAGTTAATTTAGAACACCAAATAAAACAAGGAAAAGACAGAACGAGTGGACAGATGGACATTCATTTCTTGAACATTTCCTCGCCTTCAGTTCCTCTCATTTAAGCTTCTCAATGTAACAGCCGTCTCCTCATAGATGTATTATTTAGAAGTTCTCTGAGTTAGAGGCAATTCATGTGTCATCAGTGGAACTTTATTTGTGGCTATTATGAATAGTTCACAATTAAGTGACATAATTAGCAAATTTGATGACCATTATCAAGCCATGCAGTCATTAAGTACATGTTATTAATTTTTCAGAACATATTTCTGGGGAGATTAGATATGGGTTCATCTACTTGCATAAGGAAGAAGAAAGTCAAAGAAAAATAGGTGAAAAAACAGTCCATCCCTCCACTGTGAGAAGACAACTTAAAAGTCTGAAAGGATGTTAAGAAGCCGTTGCTGAGAAAAAAAGACAAAAAAGACACTGAAACATTGCATATATGGAGTAAGCTTTTATGGAATGATGAGTCCAGTGTGCGAAATACTGAGCTGGCCATTCCAGTGTTGGCTGGCTGCTAACTCACTTGCCATAGCAATGTTGATGCTAGCTTTAATGGCAAGAAAATGTTTGGTTTGACAGTTCTTCTTCTGGAAATGCTCTCTTCTAGTTTGGTAATGCATTCTTCCACACATCACACAGTTTGAGGTATGAGTAACATTTCACTCTTTCCACTAATATCTAGGGAAATTGGGCAAGTTTTCAGATATACAAATATTTTCTGGCATATTGTAAAGTTTTTCAGAGGTATCCTGGGCATAGTTACAGTTGCTAGGCTATAAAGGACTAGTTGGATGAACCAATTTGCTATAGCGCCACCCTGAGGCAGAGCAGTGCTGCATCTCTAATTAGTCAAGGATACCAAAGACAGAAGCTCGCTGTTTTGTGGGTGAAGCAGCATTTTACGCTAATGGACAGCATAAAGTCAGAATAGGTTTATTTTTAGGGACCCCCAGAATTTTGGTTTTGACCCATTTCACCCTCATTGCTCGAAATATAGACAAGATATAGAACCAACAGTGTGCTAGGTAAACAGAGTTAAGGGGAAGAATATCTGAGTCATACCTTTCCCCGCGATGGAATGGCAACTGGGGGGTCCTGCAGAAAGGGAGTAACTATGTTGCTATGTTGCATTTACTAAGAATTGTTGATTTAATGCCATAGGGTTGTGATGAAAACACTAAATGCATCCTGGCATATGTCACTGCCCTGAAGTTGACTATTTGTAGACTCCCTCATTAAAGTCAAATCAAGAGTTTGAGGGTCTGCTGTCAGAATCTTCCCTCAACCCTTTTGAGAATGGGAATGCCCTTGGGGATAGCAGCAGGCATTCCCCCGAGGGCAAATGCAGAGGGAAAGTCTAGGAGAGCCATTTTCTACCAGAATCAGAATGCAAGACAAGTAAGTCGTCTTTGGATATTTGACTCCAATACTGGAGTAAAACAAAAACATGAAGTGGCTGGACAAATTCTGAATTCAGAATCCAACGACAAAGTTAAATGAGGTGCAAACATAAATCATACATAGCACATTTATGGCCAAGTAATGCTGCAACTGTGTGGCTGCTGGATCATTTCGCATTCAAGCTTCAACTCAATCGCAGCCAGATGGTCCTTTAAGTGAGATTGATGTGCTTTTAGCTACTTTTCAAATGCAGCACATGAAAAGAAGCTGTATTTTGACAGCAGGGAGTCTGTAATCCCCCCTACTTCGTTACTTTGAGCTCGGATGTGCTGCCTTATGGTTGCTCAAGTTCTCTGGTCAAATCTCTGCGGTCTCTGTTGTCTTCACAAAGGCTTGAGCAAAGCTGTCACTTTTATAAACCTTTTTTCGAGGCAGTGCGTTGAGGGACGCGACTAGCATCTGAGTTGATTTTGTGTCCGTGGGTAACGTCTGGGGTTATTGCCGCCCACCCCCACATGGCTTTCAAAAAGGCTCGCTCGGGCCTTAGTGTAATAAAGCCCTGGCAGGTCCAATATGCCCTCCGCTCTGCATATCCTACATCCACAATCAATGCAGGTTGCCACTCAGAGCTTTCGGGCCCAGGTAGAAGTAATGTCTTTCATTACAGCTGCTGGAATTGCTGGAGCTCTTTGCCTGGCTTGGCACCGTGTTCTTTTCCTCTATTAGGACCTAGTTAAGAGCTCAAATGTGCATGTGTGTTTGGAGGCTGGCGGCTCTCAGATGGGCCAAATGCCCCCACTTCCCCTCATCCTCAGAGATAATTAAGAAGGCGCAGAAGCAGGAACATGTTTTGCGGCCTTTGAAATAATCCTTAATTATGGAGGAGACGTGTATCTCCACGGCGAGATTAGAGAGCCTTTGGAGTATGTAAAGATCTAAAGGTGGTCAAAGAAAGCAATGGGTTTTTCACTGTTTTCCCCAGTTTGATTTTGCCTCAGCACATGAGTGGAGGATTTACTGTGACTTTTGCTTTTTCAGAATAAAATCTCTCCTATCCTGGCTGTTGGTTGGAGTTCAAACAACTTAATGGCTAGAAAATGCGAGGTGCTAGCATTTGGGAATACGAGGCATACAGGGGCTGATATTCCTTCTGACCCTTTTCTGATCCTTTTATTGTCTAGATTTCTCACCTTATGCAACATTGGCCTTCTTTAATGGGCTCAATAGACACTGTCTTCACTATTTTATGCTAGTTGATTAGCTCACTGAAGCATTAGCCTCTGCTTCAGTGGCAGTTTTCTCATGCCTAGTCCTGCTTTACTGACAAAATTCTTCTTATGAGCGCTTGAGGCGAGAGACATAATTGAATTGGTGCTAAATTGCAGTTTCTTCAAACCCAGTTCAGACATAAAGTGGTCTGATGTTCTCCGTATGGTGCCTTTTGTAGCACTCTGTAAAATTGACAGTTGGAAACAGCATAAGAAAGTTGAAAAATACATTCTGAAATATCTTTTCACTTAAGTTTAGATAAGTTTTGAGAGTGTAGGAGTGTGAGTAATCCCAATATATGTCCCTATACAGTGTATCTCCACCTGCCTGTCTGTGTAGATCGGTTAAACGGTCAGCATATTGTCTTAAATGGACATTCCAGC